ACAGGTTTCTAAGAAAGATAACGACGAACCAATTGCTATCAACGCAGCGTTTAGAAGCAACCAAGGACTTAAGAATGAGCAAGGTGCAAGAACTTATGAGCTTCGTTAACAAATGCAGCGAGAGAAGCGAACCTGTGAACATGGCTCGTGCATCATTCATCACATCACTCAATATAATCTCGAACGCTCTGTTTTCCACAGACCTCGCAAGCTTTGATGACTCCGACACAACTCGCGAGTTACACGACGTGGTGCTTCGGATGATGGAGATCGCCGGAAAACCCAACGTAGCTGATTTTTTCCCATTTCTTGGGTTTCTTGATCTGCAAGGTACTAGAAAAGAAGCGAGGTTAAGGATGCACAGATTGTTTAAGGTTTTTCAAGGATTCATCGTTACAAAGAGATCATCAAATGCTTCGAGAAACAGCAACGATATGCTAGATTCTCTTTTGAATATTGCTCAAGAAAACGAATCAGAACTCGATGATAATGATATCAAGCATTTGCTTCTCGTAAGTTTTAATTTGCAAATTAGATCTTTAAATCAAGACTACGTACAGAGAAAATTGGGCTCTATATATGTTCTTAATTTATAATGTGTGATAGGACTTATCTCTGGCGGGAATAGACACGACTTCGAGTGCAGTAGAATGGGCAATGGCAGAGTTACTTCGAAACCCTAAGATGAAACTTAAAGCTCAAGAAGAGATAAGACAAGTGATAGGGCAAAAGAAAGCCGTTGAAGAATCGGATACCTTCAAGTTACCTTATTTGCAAGCAGTAGTGAAAGAAACTCTTCGTTTGCATCCATCTGCTCCTTTTCTCATCCCTCGAAAATCCGAATCTGATGTCCGAATTTTCGACTTCCTCATTCCTAAGTATACTCAGGTATATATGTACTCGTCACATATTATGTTTTCGGATTCATACCAATAAAGGATCGGCATACAAATCAAAACGAATAAAATATCCAAACCTAATGGAAAACCCGAATGTCTATATTCTTAAAAGACTGTTGTGTGATTACTCGTTGTATTTTGAAACAAGGTTCTTGTGAACATATGGGCGATAGGACGAGATCCGAGCGTGTGGGAGAATCCGACGCAGTTCGAGCCAGATAGGTTTCTTAGACGAGATATCGATGTAAAAGGCAATGATTTTGAGCTGATTCCGTTTGGAGCTGGACGAAGGATTTGCCCAGGAATGCCATTTGCGTTTAGGACAATGCATCTAGTTCTTGCGTCTCTTCTCCATGGCTTTGACTGGAAGTATCCAAACGCCATCGTTTCAGAAAATGTGGATATGACCGAGGGCTTCGGTGCTACCTTGCACAGAGCCGAACCACTATGTGTCGTGCCTATCAAGAAACGTATTTGACAGATCATCTTCGTTTGTGTGTTTCTCAACTTAATATTTTATAATATTGAGAAATAAATCACTGTTTTCTTACGACATTGTAAGGCTTCAACTATATAGCTAACTATAATTAAAATCATGTTTTTATTGTATTGCAATACAATCCAATCCAATGATAAATTTTCAACTATTACACAATCCTGAATTGGTTCAAATTAAAAGTGAAAAAAAACACACCCGAGTGTATGACTTTATATATCATCGCAAAATAAATAAAACCCTGTACTATATACCAAATTATTCATTTATTATCCATAATACCCATCACTTAACACATAGTGTTGTTGAAAAACAATAGAAGAGAAAACATATCACATATTGTTTCACATCTAGTGATGGACAAATTTACCTTTTTGACTTTTTGGGTCCTAGGCATAAATGGTCTCCTTCCTTATATGAACAAATGTATTTATTTCTATTGAAGCTGCCGCTCATACTAACCTCACTGTATATTATATTATCATCTCTAAATAAGAGAATTTGGTTAGAAGAAACAAAACTAACGATGAAGGACATAGCTCCTGCTCTGTTCTTGATACTAAGCTTCCTTTCAACATTTCTTCTCCTTGTCGCCGTCAAATCGCGACGGAGATCGACCCCACTACCTTCTCCATCTCCGGGACCACCGGGACCAATCAAATTGCCTCCAGGACCTTCGGGATGGCCGCTTATCGGAAACCTTTTCCATATCATTGGAAAAGCTCCTCACCGTTCACTTGCTGATCTCTCAAGAGTTTATGGACCAATCATGAATCTTACACTTGGAAGTTTAACCACAGTGGTCATTTCTTCACCAGAGGCAGCAAGAGAGGTTCTGAGAACGCTTGACCATGAGTTCTCTGCACGAACCTTCAGCGAGACGGTTCGAGCCATTGGTCACCAGGATGTTTCCATCCCATGGCTACCTTCCACGTCGTCTCATTGGAGGTAAATTATAAATTAGTTAATTAGAATCTCAAATATATAGTTCATTAGTTTGGTTTTAAATATGGCGGACATTACTATTTGGTATACGGTTTAGCTCTTGATATCAATAGGGTTGTAAACAATTTCGGTTTAATTGTTTAGCAAAAAAAAAAATCGGTTTAGTTTGGTTTGATTTAGTTTCCCAGTGTACTTAATAGTTTGTTAATGAATCATATAACAATTAGTACATGGCGGAAGCTATTGGCGACACAGCTTTTCTCAAGGAAATGTATCAAATTCACGAACTCCTTGCGGTATGATAAAGTGAAAGAACTTATAACATTCATTGACAAAAGGAGCGAAAGAGGAGAAGCCGTAGAGATTGCTCGTGCTTGTTTCATCACATCGCTTAATGTACTCTCAAACCTTGTGTTTTCGACCGACTTAGGTCGTTACGACCCGAGATCGAGTGCCTCCCTGCAGTTTCAGGACTCGTTGTTTAGTATAATGGAAATCATGGGAAAACCAAACATTGCAAACTATTTTCCATCTCTTGAGTTTCTTGATCTGCAAGGTAACAAGCAAAAGATGAAGGTGTGTTCGGAGAGGTTGTTTCGGGCTTTACAAGGGCTCATCAATGATAGGATCGTGGAAATATCATTGCCTGGACCTAGAGATGGATTTAGCATCGATCTGTTGGATTCATTAATCGATCTTGTTCGAGAAGAAAGATCGGAAGTCAACATGAACGATATCAAACACTTTTTATATGTAAGTGATTTCAGGTATTAAAATTATGGTGCGATACATTATTTATTTACGTAAATGTTAATGTATAAAAAGATTTGTTTGGCATTATGATTTTTGAAAGATTTTAGTTATAAAAGAAATAGCATTTTTTTTCTAAACTTTTTAAAGTATAATTTTTTCAAACCAAAGATTTATATATAATGTTTTTTTTTCAAATATATAATGAAATTTTGTTCGTTTATTTGAAGGACTTGTTTATTGCGGGGACGGAAACGAACTCTACCACTGTGGAATGGGCACTAACCGAGCTACTTCGCAATCCAGAGGCTATGGCTAACGCTAAATTCGAGATAAACTTTATTGTTGGCCCAAACCGTTACGTTCATGACACGATCTTGCAGATTTACCCTATTTACGAGCTGTTGTAACAGAGACTCTCCGTTTGCATCCACCGAGTCCATTTCTGATCCCACGCAAAGCTGAGTCCGACACAAATTTTCTAGGGTTCCTCGTACCTGAAAATGCTCAGATTCTAGTGAACGCTTGGGCTATAGGACGAGACCCGACCGTTTGGGAAAACGCGGAACGGTTCGAGCCAGAGAGATTCTTGGGACGAGAGCTTGAAACGATAGGTGGAGATTTTGAGATGATTCCGTTTGGAGCTGGACGAAGGATGTGCCCTGGAATATCATTGGCTTTGAGGATTGTGCCTCACATGCTTGCTTCACTTATCTATTCGTTTGAATGGAATCTTGAAGACGAAAAACACTACGTCGCTCCTCAAGATTTGGACATGGACGAGACTTTTGGTATTACCTTGCACAAGACCAACCCACTTTATTCCGACTTCGTGAAGAAAGTACACGATTATTATTTTTAGTCTTTTCGTATAATTTTTTTTCTATAGTAATTAATGTTCCGGTGGTTTGAGAATTACGAGACCGGACATGAATTAATAAATAAATTTGGAGTTTATTTTGGACCGGTTTATATAGTAGTACTAATTACAATTGTAACAAATTCTTACAACATACAAAAGTAAAACCATAGCCTATGCCGTGCTTAATTACCGTAATTAGCCTTATCCTTTGGTATGAACGTGTTATCCTTATACAATAACATCGTCACAATGTTAGGATACAATAAAATCCGTGACCTAAAATAATTACGGATACGTATACGGTATAACTAATAAAGACCCAAATTCCATGTTTTTGCAACTATGATGTAGTATGTATAACCATATTGAAGCAAAATTGACTCAACAAAATTGAACGAATAGAAGAAAAGTAAAGCCAAATCAAATTATTTTATTATTGATTACTCATAAAAAGAAGAGTAATGAAAGAGATACGCAAGGGTTGTCAAGGTCGGCATTGACACAATAGTCATACAACAACACAAGACCAACCACTCAAATCTCAAAAACATAAAACTCAAACGAGGTTGCTATCTATAATTATAGCTAAACCTTTCATTAAAACAAAAACAAAACACAAAAAAATTGCTTCCTTATGCAGCAGAGGGGGCAAGGTTCGTAAGGGCATCTCCACCAGATTCATTGGAAGCTAAGGCCGCTATGGTGGGATTCGGATTCAGCTTAGACTCAATCTCGACAAAGTTTTTGTAGTCCAAACTCGAATCTTCATAAATCTCCCACCATTTTTTAACCAACATTTTGATGTCTTCACGGTCCATGTGTTGTTCACTTTCGTCATATTTCCAAGGCTTGGAACCCTGGCAAATTGATTAAAAATATAAAAAACTTGAGTAACATGAATCTAGATATATGTCAAGAAAGGAATTAAATAAAATAAAACGTACATTTGCACAGTAATGAACAACGCTAATTTGGTCAAGGTCAACATGTTCAGGATGACGCCAAATCATAGCCAATACCAGATTGTAGGTCGAAGGAATGGGCTTGTAAATGTCTCTAAAGTAGACATTCAGAAAATCCTACGAACAATAATATATATTAATTAGCATCATAAAAGGGTAAAGAAAACTCAAATCAAAATAATAGAATTAAAACCGGACCTGTTCGGCAAAACAAGTTGGAGTAGTGATCTGAACAACACGAAGGAGATCCTCGTAAGTTTCGAGATTTGGTTCAAACATTAACATACCAGCGTTAAAATACATTGGCGGTGGAGAACCAAGGGTTTCCACAGGCCACGTCACTTTTTCAGGTGATTGTTGGCAGTAACCTATCCGGTATTGACGAGTATTGGACCACGATATCTCGCAGAAGCAATCTCTAACGGCGTACAAGTAGCCGGAAGGATTATCGAAAAGATGATCGATGTTACTAAACACTTGTATGTCTCCATCTAGATATATCACCTTCTCATACTCCACAAACTACATGCATGCATATGTATATATTAATATTGATTAACAAAAAATCATATTATAAATAAACACAAATATATTAATAAGTGAATGAGTTATTTACCTCCCAAAGACGAAGCTTGGAGTAGTTGAGGATGAAATAAGCCATGGAATAACCGACTTTGTTTTCGGGGGGAATGACCGGTTCAATCTCACGGAGGATGCATCCCTGAGCCACCAAGACTTGACGGTGCTCCTCAGGGACGTCAGGGAGAATGGCCACCACAAGAGGATAAGCCGATTTCACCTTACGAAGTCCTTTGGCTAAACCAACCACACCCATCCAGTAGTCTTTGTTTCCAGCCAGAAAAGTAACATAAGCCCTTTTAGGATTTATCTTCGTTGAAGCCATCTCAAATAAACAAAAAGAATTCGAGAAATTTAGAAACTAGTAATTTTTTTCTTTTGCCGTTGTAAGTGTATGGAGGAAGATGGAGATGCCATTTCATTATATAGGAGAAGGGAGGTAGGGCAACATTAATTGCGGGAATTAATTATGGATTTTATCATATTTTCCGGTATTTATTATTTTGATGTTTTTGGAAATAAAGATCTCTTGTATACAAGTTTTAAAGAGAATATGGAAAGAAAATTATATCTGGGTCCACCTAAAGAAGGAAATGTGTAAATCGGCCATATATGATAACGAATCAAAATTTAATTTTAGAAGAATAATAAAAGAACGAATCGAATATTTACCATCCTTCATATCCAAATATATGATTTTTGGATGTTTCTAAATATACATGTATATACTGTATGTGTTTGAGTCTTGATTAGATAGATGTAATTTCCATATAAAATCAATCGGATAGTAAATTAACTCTGAGAAGATTCATATCTTTGAATGATATATGAATAATATTCAACCACTATACTTGTACAAATCGTTCTAGGCAACTTGAATATTATACAGGTGAGAAGGTCCAGTGTGCTCTTGATCACAATCACTAAAGTGCTAGCCCATGAAAATTTGCTTATGGGACAAGCCCAATACGTAATTTACTTGTATCCAAACAGCAAACTAAACAAGATTGATTAAATTTACTTAAAATAGTCATACTTTTGGTATCAATATGCTGTATGAATTAGATGATAATCTTATTATGTTTAGTATGTATAAATAAGTTATGAATTGACTTAATTTGTATTTTTCATAGGTGAACTATCTTCTGGAGGAATCATACTCTTCAGAATATAGCAAGAGTGCAAGTTTTGACTCCTATCATCCCCTAAGAGTGCAAAAAAATTCCAAATCCTAAATTAAGTGCTTTTACATGAAAATATAATAACATTTCTTTAACAAATTAAAAAACAATATATATTTTTTTTGACTAAATAAAAGAGAAATAAATTACATTCTTCCTTTTTATCAATACAACATGGTATTTTAAAAAAGGTTATTTCAAAATACATGAGGGAATTGTAATTTGTAGATTGGCAAATCTTCAACGTTTGTATTAGTAATATATAGATATAACTTGGTTACATTTATTGGAGTTTCTTTGTCGACAAAGAGAAGAAAGCAATCGCGGTTTTTGAAAAAGAATAAGAGGCTTAGTTGTACAAATATTAGTTTGTTTCTCATCTCTTGTATGAATTTACTTTAGATTTTACAAGAACAGAAGCTCAAAAGGGTTCAACATGGTTAAAACTTAAAAGTGGGCCTCTCCATTCCTCAAGGTTAAAAAAACAAAATGGGGATAAAATCTGTGAAACTGTAAGGTTGGTGTTTACTAGATTGCGTGGAAAATGACCATCCATGAAGAAATAAAAAAATCGGAAAAAGGACCTATGTAATGTTTAGATAATAATTACATATCGGTTTATTGTTATTTGTACTGACCAAAAACAAATTATGTCATTCTAGAAAGTAGGAGAAGTTGAATTTATTCTTCCAATAAATTTAGCAAACAAATGTAAAAAGTAAATATTTTCAAAATTTTGGTGATATTTATTATTATAGATTCAAGAATCAAGAAAAGAAAAGTGGGATAAGTTGAATTTATTCTTCCAATAATTTTAGCAAACAAGAGTAAAAAATAAATATTTTCAAAATTTTGGTGATATTTATGATTGTAGATTCAACAATCAAGAAAAGAAAAGTGGGAGAAACTGAACAAAAGGGAGTTGATGAATTCTATAAAATGCAACACATTCCCCGGTCTTATGATTTTGTATGCCATTTTATCTATTAATTTATAGATAAATAGATTTCATACTGATTTGTAAAAACATTTTATAAAGCCTAGTAAATTTTAGTTAAATAATATAATTATTAAAATTTAATAGGTAAAAAATAAGAGAAAAATAGAAAAATGGACAAGATGGAAATGAGTGTATGGGAATGTAGTGAGTTTTTTAACAATGTTGTGGATGACAGTGATCCTGATTTAGACAAGCCACAAATTCAACATCTTTTTCAGTCTACGGAAACAATCCGTAAGGATTATCCAGACAAAAATAATTTTCATCTTACTACAATTATTCATGGCATTTATAAATTGTATAAAATATAATAAATATTTTACACGTATTGATGAATCATTAATAAATTGTTTAAAATATATTAAATGCTATCATCCACAACATGGTTCGAAAGCTCGCGACATTCTCATTCACGCATCTCCATTTGTCCATTTTCATATACTCCTCCCTCATTCTCTTTACCTATTCAATTTAAATAATTAGATTACTTAAGTGAAATTTACTAGGCTTTGGAAAAATTATACAAATCAGTATTAAAGTCATTTATCTATAAAAGTAATGGATCAAATTGCATACAAAATCATAAGTATGGTGAATGTGTTGTATTTTATAAAATTCGTCAACTCCCTTTTGTCTTCGACTTGCAATATTCTCATAGTTCCTAGCTAACAAAAAATAATGTGAGGTTTTAAAAGAGTAATCAACTTAGACCTTATGAGAAATATGATTTTTTCTAATTTTTATTTGAGAACTACATACATGAAACCATGTCCCATAAAATTGATATAAGAGACATCAAATCCATCACTTACTTTAGAATTTGGAACCACAAATCCTTCGTCCAATACCAATTCAATTCCACTTTCTTTTCTTCGATTCTTTTTTAACAATCATAATTATTTATCACCAAGTTTTTGTAAATATATATTTTTAATTTGTTTGCTAAGTTTTATTAGGAGAATAAATTCTTACCAAACATCAGCTTCTCACTTGAGGTTGACATCTTCGACGAAGTAAAACAGATTCTGAGAGAAAAAAGGAATGCAATTTTTATGAACGAAAGAAAGTATAAGTCTGGAGCAGTGAGAAGAGAGAGAAACCGTATAGATCACAAGAATTGGAAATGATGATGTTGCCTCCCACTCTATAAATTATATAGACAGGTAAAAGATGCTAGTTAAAATAAATTGTAAAATAAAAAAAGATATTGCCAAAAAAAGATTTTGGCAAAATGGACTTATTAAGTTAAGTTATTATCAATAATGCATATGTCATTAA